AAAAGCAAAAGCCCCCCCCGGAGAGCCCAGGGCCCCGCCCGCCCCCTCGGCGCCGCGGGCCGGCTGCGCCAGGCAGCTCCGCGGGCGCGCAGCAGGGCAGCGCCGAGCACCCGCACCCCCCGACCTCCCCCCGGTTTGCACCTGGGAGCCCCAAAACAAAATAAGGAAGCAAAATTGCAGAGATGCTTTTTTTTTTTTTGGAAACGCGACGACTTGGGGAAGCAAATCCCACCTTTCTCTGCAATTGTGCAACCTGAAGGCTGCGCTACCGCAGCAGAGCCAGAATGGGAATTTGGCCGAGAAGCTACAAGCAGGCAGAGGGCTGAGAACTGGACCGAGAAGATAGTTATTACCTAGAATTCTTTTAGTGAAATTTGTTAGGGGTAATTTTTGCAACCCGAGACATTCTGCACTTAGGATCAGAGTTACAGTAGCACATTTATTTTAAAATATGCCTTAGTAAATTCATTATGTTAGGGTGGGATGATCCATGCAAATCTTAGCGTGTCCTCCCCTTCCCAAATCTGACCTGATGGACTCGGTGCCTAGGCACTGCACTGTGCCTTCAAGTCCACTCAGTTCAACACACTCACCTTTGCACAAACAGGGTGTAAAGAGGTCTTCCAGCTCTGCCCTCAGTTAGACCCCAGCTTGGGGATGAGTTGAGTGCTAAAAACTAAAGCCTCATGATCCAGTGCCTCCCTGTTTCAATCACCCACCAAGTTCCCCTGGAGAAGTCATTCCTCAGTAGTTTGGGCTGGTGCGTGGGGAAGGCAAACAGAGACACATGGGACAAATCCAACTCAGAGCATATTACACTTACCCAAAAGGAGACGGAAAGAGAAGGGAAATAGGCTCTTTGGGCAGTAAATTCTGCTTCTCTTTCAGAGCCTGCTGCCAGCCCAGTGCAGAGCTGCTTGGGACCCACTGGACTCATTCAGAGCTAGCCCCAACTGCCTTAATTCCACTTTAATGCATTCCTGGGGATATTTACACATAAGCTGCATCTACCTTACATGTTAAGGCAAGGTAATTTTCCTGATGGTTTCATAAGAATAGATCCTAGTTCTGACAAGGAACAAGGGGAAAGCATGACCCGTAGATGAAGCCCTCCTGTAAAATATAGTCTTAGTCTTTACAGGAGATTTTTTTGGTCAGTGCATTAACAGTGCAAGATAAATACTAGACATTAATTGTTAACAAATTGATTTTCAAAGGCTGAAAGGACAGCAGTAAATCAGTGCAGGAGAGCATGGCTGGACAGCCCAAGAGCCTGTTAGGGAAAAGTGTTTGCAAATTCAGCTCTGCTCTCCTCTGCTGGCTCTCACCCCAATAATTGCACTTAGCCCTTCAGATACCCATTTTATGTTAATCCAGTGCAGCAAATACAGCACATTACTCTGCTTATCTTGTTGCAGTGGTTGTCTTAACTTGACAGAGCCTAGCATTTGGGGATGAGTGATGTGCAGGGCTGAACAAAAGGGATGGGCACTGCCACCTTGAACAATCAAGGCATGGACCTGGCAGTTTCCCACCCACACCACATACCTATAAGCCTACCTGATCTACACTTAAAACTACCACTACACTACATACAGTTGTGGATAAGCAAACTATCTATTTCAGGGTAACCTAGTTCAGTATCAATAATTACATCTATAGCTGTTTCAACTAGGCTAACTTTTCAAACACTACCTCTAGGTGTAGGGGATGTTTTGCAGAAGATCTCCCACAGTCACCTGCATTTCGCAATAGCAACAGCCCACAGTTTAGTTTTTTTGTCTTCTGTCAGGAGGTGAAGATTTCTGTCAGAGCTGTTTTGCCACCTTTAGTGCTGTTTGCTGATCTGTTTTAATCAAGGCCATTAGGAGCAGAGAATTAATTTTAAAAGATGCAAAATCATTCTTCATACAGAAAAGCAACTGAGCTAGAGAGGAAGACAGGGAGGAAGGCTTGTTGGGAAATGCAGAGTGGGTCCAAGAGGTTGGAAAGGAAAGGCAGGAAAATCAGCTGCCACTCCTGGGATGGTGAGTGGCTGCCAAGTGTCTGTCAAATGCTAGTTAGCAACATTTGCACCCTAACAACTGGCAAGCCACTGATGAGCAAAATTTGATCTTTGGACATTAATCTTTGCATATTATAAATTTAGCAACCAAGAGCAACATGCACACAACAGGGAGCCATACAGCCTAGTTCCTCCCACCACTGTCCAGGTCCTGATTTTCTGATCAACGGGTCCTTCATTTTCATAGTCAGCTGTTTGTTCCTCATAACCCCAAGTTCACCCTTCCAACAAAAACTGCATCCTAGAAACATTTTCTCTCCTTCCCCATTTTGTCCTCAAGAGCTTTTCCAAGTTCCCTGTCCTGGCTCCCAGGTTTTGCTAAGCATACAGACAAAACCAGGAAGCACCAACACCTACTCAGTCCTGTGCTGGCCAGCATTACTCCCGAGCACTGGGAAGTCTTTGAGCATCACTGCTCCCTCCACTGAGCCCACAGTTAGCACAGACATTACCTTTGTCTGCAGCTGGTAGGAGAGAACAGCACGAGCACTTGCTGCAGCTTTCAGCAACACAAACACTAAGGAAACATCGAGACCAGGTATTGGGGTTAGTTTAAAAAAAGTCTGCATGACAGCTACAAAAGCTGCAGAGCCAGAAGAACTCCTTCAGAGCTGGCAAATCCTCAAAGGAGACACAGAAAACAATATTTAGGGCAGCTGAGCTATGAAAGAGCAAGGGGACCTCAGAGGACAGGGGAATTGCTGCTCACTCCTGCACTGGCTCCAGAAGAAAGAGCAAGAGACATTTGGTTCAGTATAGGAAAACTGTGGTATATAAAAATCACAAATGTATGGCAAACAGACCATCAGAGAAACCAGCAGGAAGTAAGAAGGAAAGGTCAGAGCGAAATGGAAGAAATTGTCCCTTGGGCCCAAAAAAAATGCCTCCCCAGTCTCTCTTGTACAAGGCGATTCTGCAGCATTTCACAGAGATAGTGCTGACAAATTCTTTTTCCCTGTGCAATGTTATAAGTCACACAACAATGCAAAGAGGGATCCCAAAAGTGAATGATTTGTTCACATCTCTGAAGGACTGGTTTGAAGAACGAGCAATAACACCTTTTAGAGGGGGACATTGACTTCTTCAATATCTACAATGTACAGTCATTATAGCATCTATGTTTGCTCCATCAGACTCCTTTTAGAGATGGCAGAAATCTCCATAGACCCCTTTTAACAATCTTAAGCATCAGAACTAAAAAAACAAAGAAAAATAACTGTGCTCACAAGGCTGAAACTGGGACTTGGGAACAAATGCACTGGAGAAAAAAGAAGCCCCTCCGCGATAGCCCCAAAGCCCCCATTTCCCTCCCACGCACGCTGCGCTCTTGGGAAGAGCACAGTTGAGACAGGGTTTGGGAGAGGACAAACCCATGCAGCGGGATGAAGGTGCAGGGTGCTGCTCGTCTAACAGGAGAGGCACCAGTCTCCCATAAGCCCGTCTACTCTTAGACTCCACTATAAAAACAAGCCCAAGCACTTGCATTCAGACAGCTTTTAGCTCAAGCCGGCTGGTCTAACCCCTCCCAGTGCGCCTGAACAGCAGCCCCACACTGCCTGCTCTCAATGCCCACTGTGCCAGGCATCACAGGGATCCACACACTCTTCTCTTGAAGACTGGACACGGCTGCATCCCTGCTGTCTGCAAGCAAGTACTGGTCTGTAGAAACAGGAATATTATACAATAAAACAATTTCATGCAAGAGACAGCTGTTCCCCAGGGCCATCTAGGCAGCAGAGCTGAGGTCAATTGATTCCTCTTTGCTAAAATAGCAGGACAGTGAAACAAGTATAATTTGTGGCCATCTCAAGCACAAATACACAAGGCATCTTTCTGCTTCTCTTCCTCCCATCTTTGCCCTTGCATTGGCCCTCCAGCTCCCAAGTCCAGGACCCCACAGCATTACCATGCCAAGAAATGCATCAAATCCTGCAGCATTCCCTGTGACCGCACAACAGGAAGAGCAAGCCATTTAGCTTCCAAAACTTGAGCACAACTTTGCAGGACAAAGTGCTTCTGCCCTCCTACAGTCCCTCCATGCTTCCAGCACACCTTGCTCACAGGACATGTTGAAAGGGAAATCAGGGGTCTGAACCCCTTAGACTACAAGGAACAAGAGGCCAATGGCAAGGAAAGCACCAG